AACAGACAAAAGTGACTTTCATGCAGGAAGACTTAACAAAACAAAAATCTGGGGAATAATCTCCCCGGAATAGTAGACAAGCTTTTCACTCCACACATTTGCCACTCCTGTCTATGTTTGTGGGATTTCTTTGTGTACGTACTGGCTGCTATTGCCTGGATCAGTCTCTGTCTGTTTATGTTTGTTGCAGGAGTTTCCTTTGCTAAATTGTCTGGAAGCAGAACAGCCCCCATCAGCTAACCAGGCAGAAATGGCTGCGCATCCCGCTACGGGGATCCAGGACATGCCAGGGGGGCCACATATGCAGACAGGCGAGCTCACAGTGAGAATAACACGCACACTGTACCTTAATCTCACTGACTCAGTAGCACACTGACTCACAGGCTAATTGACTGACCAGCAGACTGCGGTGAAGGAAGCAGTGAGATGCTTTAAGAATTAAGGTTAGTGCACACATACCAATATCTGTTTTTTTTTTTTATGTGTTCAATCTTTACAATACTAGATTATTCATATTAAACTGACATAGCAGAATGTAAGACGTAGACTTATATCTATTGCAGAAACAACAGATACAGCTGAAGGTTATATGATTATTTTCTGTAGAGAAACAACATTGAACAACTTCTTCATGTGAAATGATGACTTGAAGGTGGAAATAATGACAGCTTTTCAGAGTCCACCCAGCTGCAATTTCTCAGTTTTGTGATTTTTGCATTTTATTATTTTTGTCTTGATTTATTAAGATAAAAAGCTACACTTTCTACTTTACCACTTTGTACAGATATCCTCTTTTCCATAAAATATAAGAAACATGTAGTTCTGCGTTTTCATAACCACTAAATATTTCAGATTATCAAGCACATTTCAATATTAGACAAAGATAACCTCAGTACATACTCACAATAAGTGTACTGTAAGCCATCTTTACCATAACAACTCCGATCCCTCTCAGCATTAATATTGAGGACAGAGGTAACAAACCAAAGCCAAAGACAGCCTGATGTTGAACCTTCAGACTTAGTGGCCTGGCAAAAGGCAGGCCAAAACAACAGTGTAACTTTTACTGTTTTGAAGTTTGGAGACTCACTTCCTGAATGAAATCCTGCAAAGTTTACGTTTCTAAAGGGTCTTTGTGTTCTGTTTTTTAACTCTTTGATTAGTAGACTGTGAGTATCGACAGCCTGGTGTGTGTGATCATCAGAACAAACTGACAGTAGGGAGCTCGATAGCCATCCCACCCAGCCTCCAATACCATCTGTCTGGTATGGATCTCTGGAGCTTGACGCCTGTTGGTTTGGGAAAAGTACACACCACAAGCCTCAAGGGCTGGCAGAGAAGAGTCGGAGGAGGTGTATCTGCTCCAATTGAAGCTGTTCAGTCATCTTCACAGACAGAAAACTGCGACCGGTAGGGTATATGGGCTCCTTTTCATGATCTCTTTCACTGTCTTTCTCCCTCCCTCCTCTCAGAGAGGAGCGCGAGTGATCAAACATGACTGTGATGTCTTAATTAAGAAGTACTAACAGGCTTGATTAAAAGGAGAGAATGAAAGGATCCATCAGTGAAAGGAGCAATTCCCCATCGGCCACAGGCAACATAAGTGGATGGGAGAGAAGAGCCTGCAAAGATGAAGTGATGGAAGAAAGCTGAGTGCAACAACAGAACAGAAATAAGGGAAGAGTCCATGTAGAAAAGTGACATGACTTTCCCTAAATAAATAATTTTACAAGTCGCAGTTATTGCCATAAAAGTGAAACAGATTGTTATTAGTACCCTCTATATGGTGGCATATATTAGGATTTGACATATTTTTGATTTGGAGGTAGCACAAGAGAGATTAAGATGTCAGAACAATGCTGCTGCATCTGACCTAAGTTTGTTTTTTGGTCACATTCTCCAACATGGATATAAAAACAAACAAACCTGCTTATTACTAGTGACAGCTCTTGTTTTTTTCATGTGTCTTTGCTCTATTAAAGCATCCAGTTAACTTGAAATGACCGCATGCTGTCTGTCTACCACACTATTCTTCACAGTCCTTATTTCTTGTCCTGTTTGCCCACTTTGTACTAACTTTACTAGTATGTGTTTTATTGGACCAGTAGTATGAAAAGGTGTTAAACAGTGAAAACTTCTAAAACACAAGAGGACAAGAGAAAGCAGAGTCAGTTTTTGAATATTAGACTGTTTGGATTACAAACACCTAAAACAAACGTTTATTAGTAAATTTCAGGCTCTTGTTTACTTCTTTAAATATCCTCTGATTAATGCCCTCCCAGATGAAGTTGATCATATACAAGTTTTTATCTTGGGACTTGATCAAACAAAACCAAGCAGTATGTTTTGAATGAAACACACTGCGGTCACTGTTTAGAGATCTTGTATTTTTTTTGCCACCACTATAATATACCCACAGGACATAGAAATGCACCACTTAACTTTTAAATTACGTATCTCACCTTCTAATTGAGTGCTGTCATAAGAAAACTAAGAATTTGTAACAGAATTTAATTTACTAGTCTGTATTATTTTATAGCAACAAATCAGCACAATGTTTTCCCTTTGCTGATGACTCCAAAAATGAGTTATGGAACTTTGGACACATAAAAACAAAACAAAACATAATTTGCACAGTTTTAAAAAAGGATGAAACTGTCAACATTTTTGAGGCACAATAAACAAACAAACAAACAAAAATAAAACAGGGCTACTGGTCTGTTTGAAGTTGGCTACAGCAAGTCAGTGAATGCCAAAAATCCACAACCAAACATGCACAGGGACATTAAAACACACTGGGACCACTGCCGATTAACCCCGGCCTCATCAAACATTCCCGACCACCACTGTCAAAAAAGAAAACAAGAAAGATAACCACATGCAAAATAAAAATCCGCACTCTATTGTTTGAAAGGCAATAGATCTTAATTTATGAGTGGTAACTGCTGTGATCTTACAATTTTAATGATTAAATGATTGATTAAGTAGTATTTATTTTCTGTGGATATACTTGTGACGTGAAAGAAAGCAAAAAGAAAATAAACACTAAAAGTGAATACTAACATCATAAAGGAATGTCCTTTCAATCTTTTGGTTTTTACTGTAGCAGAAATTATAAAGTACCTCTGTTTGAATTTACAGGGCATATCCATAATGTGAAATGACACAGGACTGGTACACCTTTCTTCTGTCCCTGTTGTCTCCTATGTAGGGAGCAGACACACCTCAGCCTCACTGACAGCCCATAGCCTGACTGTGCAGTGCTGCATAGCTCAGCACAGCTGTCTGTTGTCTGGTTCTTCCAATGTCTACCTCCTCCAGCTTCACTCCCGGCTTTGTGCCCACTCAGCATCAGAGTGATCTACACCTCTGTCATTTCCTTTGGTTCAACTCATAGCATTGCGAACAGTTATAACACAAAATATATATGGCTTTAATTACAGTTTACATTATTATTCTTTATTCTAATGCAGTCAAACTCTCCACAGAGTAAGGGGGAAAGAACGACAAACATATCCTATTAGACCAATTGTGGTCTGAATCTCCAACCTTATCTTTCCTTGAACTCCTCTAGGAGTTGCCACAGAAAACAGCCATGGCTTCCTCTTTGGGGAAGTATATTTAAGGGGCACATGCTGAGATTGCTTGTGTCAGCATTTCAGCTCAACAGCAGAACAGTGTTGACACGCAACAGATGAATGTAAAACCTTGAGAACGAAGACGTGCTGGAAGCAAATCCCTGATAAAAATGTTTTTTTATAAGCACACACTCATATTATCTTGAGTGCCTCTCCCAGCAGGCACAATCACACTCAGGCAGATAATTCAGTGTCACAGAGAGCCTTGTCTGTGACCCTCTGGTCCCCTCCAGACAGATGAAGCAGCTGGACAGGGACCCACGGCTGCCCAGAACTCACTTCCCTCGGGGAGCTCAAAGAGAAGAGTCCCCTCTCTGCCTCGGAGGATGACCAGCTGAGCTCAGTATGTGAACGCTCCGTGTCCCCATGCCCAGGAAGGTCTGAACAGGCGAAGCAAGACTTGCAAATGTGCAGTAGTGAAGTGATATATGTTTTTACTCTCTCCCAACCAGCATAGTTTTCAAAATAGATATTTAATGTTTTAGGATTTTAAAAAGTGTAGAGTTTAATGGTGGTCACTTTAAGATTTTAAGGGATAAATTAAACATATTTATTTACAAAAATGCTTCCTATAAATATTTTCAGAAATTATCCCTTAATAAGGATAGAATTATGCCTTTTTAAAACTTATTGCATATTCAGTGAAAAATGCCATAAATATGACTTTGTCTTGGCTACTATGCCTTCAACAAATAGGCAATGAGGAATTACATCTATGAAGCTACATATCGCCAGACATATAAAAAAGGCCTGGAGATATTTTACTAAGTTCAACAAAAAATGTATTCAGTAGCAAGACTGGATTTACTAAGTACATATTAATATTGCATAGTTAAATTTTCCAACTGCTTTTTCCGCCTTAATTAAATATTAAGCAGCGGGGGGACTTTGTGTGTTTCATCATAATGCCAAGACAGGGTAAGCATGATAGGATGACATTAATTTTTTGACAGATATTGTTTTGTAGAAAAGTGAGCACCGAATTTCTGCATAATTATGTAGCCTTGGTATACTGGGTGTATTTCACTTTGAAATTAAATATAAAATAATCTGCACAATACTTAGTGGAATGAGATCTGAAACCTTTAGTAACTCTCTATTTGTGAGGTATATTGATGATTGCATGACTCAGGTTTACCTGTGTAAATTCTTGCATGTGTTGTTTCACAGGAACTCAGTAATACACATTGCTCACACTCTCATAAGTACACTGTAAGCCCCAGATGACAAAGGGCTTTGGCACTTCTAAAGCAGTACCATTAATCAAGTCTGCATGAACACGAAGTGATTTTGCCAAACAGTAAAGAAAACCTAAATTTAAAATGTGTCTGACCATAATCAAACAAAAAAATCATAAGAAAATTTGCTATGTGACCATTTTATTAAAAAGAGGTTTAAACTAAGTACAGAAAAAATAGACATTTGAGTGTGTCAATCCGAGTCTGAGTCCCTCTGAGCTTTAATGATGCGTTTCGTCGGGCTTTCACTCAGAGTGCCAAAACTATGCAGCGGCCAGAGCTGTGAAGGGGAAAAAAGCAGAATAACAAGGAGTTAAAGGAGAAATAAGATTTGATTAATACAACAATAAAGCCAATATAGGGGGAAAAAAACACTTTATTTCACATCTTGGACACACGCCCTAATACAACTTTTAATGATGCATTTGACCTCATTAAAAATCCTGTTATTTCATCAGCTGTCGTAACAGGGCCTCCAGTGGAGTGCTGCCATCCAATCAGATGGACAGAAGGTTGCCTGACCTATTTCCAGGGTCATGGTTGCGATGACATCCGGTGACATGACAACATAGCAGAATGGAAAGCTAGACAATATGCTGTCCAGGCTTTGGCCAATCAGACACACTTGTTTCAAACTTCCAACTGGCTATAATCTCTGATTAGTACTTGGCCATAATGGAGGGATTTATTGGAGAACAATAAGTGCAAAGTGACTCAACTCCAAACACTTTGCTAATTTTCAATCCGAGATAAGAAAATGGAACATCAAGCATGTTTGACAAACCAAGATCATTTTAAAGTTGAATTTGTGTGTTACCTTGCAGCAAACACGACCTCGGATCAGGGCATATGGAATTGGGCCATAGTTCCTGGAGTCAGTGGAATTTCTAAGGTTATCCCCTTCCAGCCATACATGGCCCATCGGAACCTAAAATCATTGTTACACACACAATATTGACAAAATGATTAACGTGTACACTTGTCCAAAGTAAAACATAATGTAAATGCCCCCCTACCCACTCTCAAGACTGCTTAAAAGTAAATTATTCTCACAATGTAGTACAACTCTGTGTAAACCTCATCCCGTTCACCACAGTCCCCTCAGCTATCCCTCCCTCCTCACGTATCTTAACGTCAACTTGCCGATCCCTTTTTATCACCCCACTGTCGTAGGAGAGGGGTCATGGGTAACAAAACGGGTTGGGAGATGGAGACTTAGGAGAACTTCAAACAGGGTCATTAGGCTGTTGGCTGAGATCTGCGCCCCTCGTACCCAGGGAGGGCAAAGCCAGAGAGGGGCCTGAGATAGCTGGACAGAGGGAGAAAGAGGGAGCGAACTAAGCTGCGGCTAGCAGCAGCGTCCAAGGGTCTCCACCGCGGTCCGACCTGCCAGTGGGGCAGTCATCCAAGCAGGCTCTAATTCACAGTGACACCAATTATGATTAATCTCATCACTTTAGGAGAGTAGGCTTGTCAAGGCCCTAATTAAGTGTGCTGTCCCCCTATATGTGCAGACAGGATCAACAACACATTATATTGTCATAATGGGCATCACAATCCACGAGTCTATTTTTGTGTTGCCCAACTTTTTTAACGGCAAAAGTCCTCTGGAAGAAAGGGAAAAGAACGTGAATAAGGAAACGGGAAACTAGCAGTGGAGTGATGTCATGCCTTTTCCTGTTCTCAAGCTCCTTCCTCCTATCACTCCGGTCTCTGATTGCTCCCCAGTCATAATGCGGGATGCTGCATTTCATTTCATATTTGATAATTGAGACAGATGATGTGACATAATCACAAGCCAGTGACACGTTGACCTAACATGAGGTAAACAACTCGCTGACTAACAACGACACAAATGAATATCATTAAAGGAGTCATCTGAGAACCATATGTCAACATGCTGGATTCTCACCATTACACCTCATTAACATGGTAACATATGCTGGCTCCCAAGCACAGGAAAAAGAAACACTACTGTTTGTCATCTGCCAAATCATCATCTGCCAAATCATAACTTGGCTTTTTTATTTATTTATTTATTTTATTGATTCTGTTCATCTATAAAAACACAGTTTTTTGGTCAACAAATGTCAAGGAGAGCACTTCCTTATTAAATTATCCAGTGCATTTATGTTAAATATGAAGGCTTGTTTGTATCGACAAAGTTAGTGCACAACAATGTGAATTTGTGAGTTCTCAAAGTTCGTTTCCAAAATCAGATACAAAAACATCTTTAACAATAGTGACCATTTTCAGCCTCAACCTCACATCAAGAGCAATACACATTTTGTGTCCCAGCACAGGTATTTGATGTATTTGATTTTATTTAAAATGTCTGTCGCATTGTATCATCGCACATTGCGATATTGTGTTATCGCATTTTAAATGTTCTTTTTACTGTGTAGTTTTTTTCTCCCAGACTGGTGCTCAAGTCACTTTTTTTTGACGTCCTGGCAGTGTTCTTTGAGTCCTTGTGCTGATGTAAAATGAACCTTCACTTCTTTCTGAAAAGTGCTCTGGAGCAGATTTTCATCCAGGATGTCTCTGTACATTGCTCTACTCAACTTTTTTCTAACCTCACTAGTCCTACTGCTGTAAACCATCCCCATAACATGATGCCGCCACCAACATGCCTCACTGCAGGGATAGTATAGGCCAGGGGTTTTTTTATTCCTCATGATCTGAGAGTCCATCAGGGGCCTATTCACAACCTTCATATTGTAGTATTTGGTATGAGGAAAGAGATTAATTTAATTGAATTTTGAATTAGGCTGTAGTGTAACTAAATATGGAAAAGGTGAAGTGGTGTGAATAACTGTATTCCAGGTGGTTTTCTCTTTCATCTGGATAATTAAAATCAATCATTGTAATTTATCTCGATTTATTTTTCAACAAATTAGAATAATTTAAACAAGGATCTCATCTGTTAAACTAATAATTGGAAACACTTTCCCATCTAAGCAAAAATGTATAAAGCATACTTGGAAGATGAACAAGGCAGTAATTTAAAAAGTGATTTAACAGAAAGCTTTGAAACTTGGCCTTTCAGATCATGGCAAATTGAAACTAAAGCTAGAAATTATCTTCATGTAAGTCACAAATAGAGAAAAGAAATGTCAGAGGAAAACTTCAGCATTGAAAACACAGCTGGATCCAGATAGTTATTTTGGCATTCTCTTTCAGAAATCAATACACGAAACCCTATTATTAGGGAGTTTATCTGAAGACAGTTGAGATTAGTAAGTACTTTGTCATCTATCTTTAATGAACATCAATGTCTGTTTTCGACTTAGATTTTGACAAGCATTTTTAAATATCAAGTTCAACACAGGCTTAAAGTATTTATACATAGAGTTCCTTCAATGCGACAATCCATCCTGCTGGGCAGGATGGATGGGAAAGACAGCAGCAGTCTTGCGGTAGCAGGTTGGGTCCATGCCAGGCATTGTGTGCTTGTCAGAGATGGGTCGAGTAGAGCTGAAGCCAGAGCTCTCATCACTGTGGAGGACGGCTGTTTAACAACCTTGCCATTACACTGTTCATTATTTTAACATGATTGGGGTGAGGAATTACTTTCCATTAATACAGTGTGTATGAATATTCAGCTCATCTCCAACCATATCTCTCTGTCTAACTTTACAGCAGAGAACAGAAAGTATGCCTGATATTTTGCCTCGCATGTCTTTCTCTGTCCCCTGGTGTTACATTAGAGATCAACCGGTATTGTTTTGACACAATAGAAATGATTCTGAAAAGGTGAGAGAGCAATTAGTACATTGCTGGATCTCTGGGGGTGGAGGAGACACGTCTGTCTATCTGTCTGAACAAGAAAAGAGGTGATGACAGGGTCTAACATCGTCTTACAAAAATCATCTTTACAGGCTTACATATAATGTTTCACACCATCATAATAACCACACACAGGGACATAGATTCTCTGCACTAGAGGAAGAAAACTATATTAGGGGGCATTTATACGAAGAGGTATTTTCTCAGACTAGATAATGGAAATCAATATTAATATATTCTTAGGAGTTAAAATACATAATTCATGACGCCACATATTTGATGATAGATGACATTAAAATGCTTTAAGTATCTGTTATGCTATTACTAAGATGCATAATACATGTAAAAAAAATAAAAAAAACCAGAGAGCTACGACATGCTTTAACTTGTTTTTTGTCTCCATGGTGAGCTGAGTTTGCATCCTTTTGAATTCAGAGACTACTGACACAGATTTGAATCCCAAAACACAAACATAGTCTTGTAAATTGTACAATCGCATACACAGCTGGCAAAAGACACACCACTCATATCTCTGATAAATTTAAGTATTTTCAAGATCAGAGTATGGTTTTAGCCTATTTATTCACAATGGGGGAAGAAGGTCTGATCAGTAGGAAATTTCACCAGGAAACATAACGACTGAACAGGTCATACTATGCCTCTGCTTTTCCTCAATATTTTGCATGTTAGGGAATTATGTACAGGCTATACAGCAAAGGAACATTTTTCATTTATCATATTTGATTTGAATTTATTCATTTAGTGAAACAATTCACTGAGCATTCTTGCAAAGCAGTGATTCCTTATCGTTTGCCAGGGGATGTATTTCTTTAAATACTTTTTAAGCAAATTTATGTTTTAAAAAAATACAATGCTCAGTTATAGTGTTATAGAACTGAAAGTTAATGAGAGAGAAGCTCATGGCAGACTTCACATATAAGTCTGCCATGGATATATTGCATGGACAGAGGCTCCTGCATTTGCTGAATGACCCAGTAGCTTAACTCATCCATACTTTCACACAATCATAAGATTGTACACTTAGCAATCCTAGCTGATTGTGTTATATCAAATGACAGGAATAAAACATGTCAACTAAAACTAACACTTTGTGGTATCTTCCCCTGCAGCACAGCTAGCTTATGAAGGAAGTTAGAAAAGTAGCAGCTTTAAGCCACCACAAAAATGTTTTAAAAATCACAAGATAATTATATATTTTTGGGATGTGAAAAAAAAAATTAGGGTTATAAAAGTGAGTGTGTTCAATAGTAGTTGAGGATGTTGGGTTAATTTTGCCCATTATTAACCACAATGACAAAATTTGCTTCACCAACAACTACAGCTTACAGATGTTTGTTTTATTCCTACCTACAGACAGTCCTTAAAAGAATAATTAGCTATTTATGTGGTATACGTGCAGATCAGTTTCATTGTGGTAGTTCAAGGGCACCGGTCTAAAATGGAAACATTTTCACTGCAATATGATCGTTTCTATGTGGAGGTAAAGATAGTAGAAGTAAGCATTTATTTTGTCATTTGATGAATGTCACTTGCAGGGCTGCCCTTGTACTATATTTTTCTGAACTTATTCAGGCGTTTGCCCATAGTCTATAAAATACAAAGTAAATTCAAAGAGATGCAACATAAACACAACCTTTGGTTTGTGGACTGTCATATACTCATTCACACACACAAACACACACGTACACACACAAACACACAGTCAGATAACCCTCCTCCCACCCATCAGTCTGTCCATTCGGCTGGCACTAACTCTAACAGGCTTCAGAGAGATTGCAGGCCTGAGTTGTGGGTGTTGGGGGGAGCAGCAATAGAAAAGCAATGACAGTGGTTTTGGCAGCAGAAACCCTGTTCATTCTCTGGTTTTATCACCATTCTTAGGAAATATAGGTGTTGTCAAAAGCTGATATTTTGACCACTGACATAAAATGGATGTGCATGGTCTAAAATGTAAACAACTCTGAAAGCCTATAGACTGCGATATTCACACAAAGAAAAACTCAGACACAGTTTTGCATTATGCATAAGCATTCATTTTAGGGTGAGAGAAGCGATCAAGTGTTTTGTACTAAACAAATTTTTCATTCACTCTCTATATAACTACCTTTTCCTCATTTTTGGGAAACACTCTGAACTGCGGTTGTTTGCAGGAAGACAGTCTCTAAAACATAAATAAAGATACTCACATATGTGTGACTCTTCAACAAATCTGATGGAGAACTGGTGCAGATCTTATCACCCTCCAATCCAATAACCCTTTTACAAATGTTCATTTGCGGGTCGAATGGACTTTTGGCAATTACTATGTCACCCCTGAAAACAGATAAATACAAATATTCATGTAATGATACACAATGCATGATGCAGGTACTCGAATGTTATCAGTTATATTCTCAAAACCAGCTGTAGGAGACGTGTGACAGTTTCAATGAAACAAACCAGAAACAAACCAATCTCACTTGTTATCAAAATCAAATTAGCAAAATAGCTTATCAATAATGTTGACTCATCTGAAAATTAATTATTGAGCCATCCATGGTGTTAGAAACTGCACTCACAGACAAACAAGAGGTAAGATCTTACAATTTTATAATAAATATGAAAGAGCAATGGAGCATGGCATATCTAACCGATCAGAAGTCACATTTAATATTAATCCAGCAGTCTGTACTTATTAATAGGCTAAAGAAAGATAACACAACAAGATTAATTAAGTGTAATTAACTAATAAACAAAGCAAATAAACAAGACAAATAATTAACTTTAAGTTAAACTATTTGTTGACTAAAGGTTTAATGGACCAGGAGCTTGTTTCTTATAAAATAAAGTGAATTAAAACTCTAAAACTTATCAATTATGTTTAATTCTCAAATGTAAAGAGGAAGATCTTACTGAAGGTCTAATCTGGAATATCAAGGCTCCCACATACTTAACCAGAAACCAACCAGTCGACGCACAGTCACATGGTTGTGGACTGTTTGGTTTTGTACGCATTTTTCACACGACGACGCGGGACACTTTGAGGACGCCAATCTTTACTGAAGAACTGTACAAATGTACATATTTACTTCCTGCATCACATAAAAAAACGTTTATCTGACACAGCAAGATGCAGATACAAAAACCGTATAGTAGAAGTGGACTAGTTTGAAGAGAAATATCAACCTTGCTGTCCAAAGACAGTAAAAGTAATGTCTTTTTTCGAGTTTATTTAGTTTTTTGTCACCACTTCCTATGGTTCAGCCACCTCATTTCCTTCCCTTTCTTGGTAAGAGAAATCTAAGAGTCAAATACAGTGGTCGATATCCTTCATATAGACAATGGTAACATTACAATATTAAGAAAAATAAAACACGTTCTTTTGAAAAACGTGCGTATTTTTTAATGAAGATGTTATTTTAGTTAGATCACAAAATTCCACTGGTTAGCTGAAACAGGCACAAAAGCAAAGAGTCTTTAGAGATAGGAGGTCAGAGTCAAAAAGTTTGAGTAAGTTAAAAACAATAGCCAAACCTTTCAGTGAAGCAAAAAGAATCGTACTTACTTTTCTATTTTAAAAAGATGACGACTCAAACGTTCAGAAAACACAACATCATGGTTAACAATTGTGGGCTCCATAGAAGGACCAGAACACTGAATGAAGACAACAAAAAAAGGTTATTTTGTGTAAAGAAAAAAAAAAAAAACGTGTGAAAATGGGGCATCAGTGATGTAATCTTGTAAATACGAACCACCACAAATTCGCCTATATATTCAAAGGCACAGTGTGCAATGCAACCATACTGGATGGTGTAACCCAGAAGGCCCAGGGTTTTCCCCAGCATATGACGGAACATCTCCACCTAAGAAAGAGAACAGCCAAAAGTTACAAATTTTTTTTTTAAATAAATAAATAAATAAAGCTTTGAGGAGTTTCATTTCTAGAGGTGTGGACAAGGTTGTCACAGTTGGCCTACCGCTAAGATGGCACGTTCTTTAGTGTTTCATTCTCAGGGGCTGAGTGGCCAGTTCACACCAGAAAACTGTCCCGCACTTTGACCCTGTGGACGATGTTCCTATCAACACCTTGAGCTCAGGTGATGGACAAACACAGAAACTGTGACACATCCAGCCAGGCAGTCTTGCCCCGTCTACAGCTACATCTCTGACTGTGCTGCCATGATCATTAGAGCTGTTATCAGCTCCTGTCGGCACCATGGAAACACAAAAACACGGTCCGGGCACACTTGCAACAGCCCTGCAAACACTGTCATTTAAACACACAAGGAAAAGGTCTTCTGAGCAAACATCACAACCACTTTTGGGTTATTGACTTTTACTCAACCTGCGAGATGAACTGAAGAAAGCAAGCCACTATTTACACACTGTCCAGCAGGTTCTATATGTAGAAAAGCTCTTGCACACCTGCACATACACAAACCGCAACTGTATACGGCTAGGCTTAGATGTTAGTACTTGCTTCAGTCATTTTCTTTTTTCTCAAGCTGCTGTCCTGCTAGCCCTCCACAGGGTACACAGGGTAAAGAAATCTTTTTCTTCATCTCTTCTATTCCTTCTGTCTCTTTCCTTCTTTCTCTCGCCATGTCTCCTCTCCCTCCCAGGGTATTATTAACCAAAGCAAGCAGAGCGGAAACCAAAGTCCCAAATCCTCAGAGCTCTGGGAATGACTTCCCAAAGATGGACAAGGATTAGGACCCCCAATTTCTCCCTTACCCCACCACCTCCACCCCCTGTTTCTCCTCAGGTTCCCAACAGACCGGGTGTCAGGTGGCTCTGTGAGTCCTGCCAAAGGTGTTACCCCTAATCCCATTACCCCCGCCACTCTTCTCCCTCTGTTATACGCGCAGGTCCCTCTCATTCATTCCGACTGCATTTCAACTATTAAACTCTCCATCTTTTCTTTCATGTGTCTCTTTGGCCTATTCGCCATCCTTTTTGATCCCAAAAAGATAGACTGTATCCTCTCACTTCCCCACAACTTCTTCCCTCTGTTCCACAGTCACCCCTGACAACCCTGCACTTTCCAGAAAACACTGTGAATAGCAGGGCTCAAGCAGGTGAAGAGGGATATACAGATACCCTGCATGGAACCCAAAAGAAAGGCCCCTTTGCAATTCCAGCATACTCCTATTTCTTCTGCAAACTCAGTACTTCCCCAGCTGGTATGATAACACCTCTGGCCCTCTAATTCCTCTGTTGGCAAGAAAGTGGACTGAAGGTTAATGTGAATCTGTTCTGCGCTATAAGGCAGCATGTTCATGCCTCTTCCTCTTACTCTCAGCTTGATTCACCTGAATTTCCATCTCTGTGGTACTGTAATGCACTCTTAGACATGCTTTCCAGTGTTCACCTCCTTCTGCTGGGACCAGGGATCAGGAATCTTTGTTAGCACTCATTCACAGAGCACAGTGGACAGCCTCCCATACAGCTGCCCTCATATCTCTACTTCATCACACTCCCTCCCCTCCATTCCAGCATGCATTCATCATAGGTAGGGATTAGGAGACTTTGCATAACCAGATCACACGGCCACTGACTGATATCAAGAGTCCATATGCAGCCGCCTGGTTTTCTGAGTCCCCCTCTGTCACTGATAGTGTGTGTTTGTGTGTGTGTGTGTTCATAAGCACGGACAAAAGCATCACGGACAAGCACGGACAAAAGCATGTATTACCGTACATAGAAAGAGCAACATATGAGCTGAAGTTACTCTTGGGACTCCGAATGAGCTGGACATACACAGAGACTTCTAATTAAATATCTATTAGATCTAATTTCCCTCAGGCAAAGAATCAAGCAACCAATATTATCTTTCAGCTCGAATAGCCCCTGCATGTGTGTGTGTGTGGTGTTGGATGGGCAAAGGGTGTTAATCGCATGTTGTATTACAGCTGTAAACTAACACAAAATCTCTCTGCTAATCCTGGATTACAGGGCAAACATGTTCATGAGAAAACAACAACAGGAGAAAAAGTCAAAAGGCGCTTTCCCTGCAGAACCATCTGTTACCGCTGGCCTCCTGCTGTCACCTCGCAGCGCTACAGTCAGGATAAGGGGCCATTTTAAATGAATAGTTGCAGATGGAATTATATCAATGTGCGTTTAACTTTGTGATCCTCTTATTGACGGAACCCAAATTCATTCATTCAAGCAATCAAAACTAGATGAATCATCAGAATGTTTTCAATGTCCAATGTTACATGTCCATTTTGCGAAAATGCTGGTAAATACTTTGCTCCATTAAGAGGGGATAAAAACATTTGATGATAGAAAGTAATAGTGTTTTTTTCTGTAATTTGGGTTAAGGTGAACAAAGAAATATCTGCACAAAAAAATACAGGAAGCTGAAACAATTGAGCAGTTTGGGAATAGCTGCTGCTAAGCTTAAATTGTGAGTTAACTGGAAACGTTTGATACCATTACATGAAAGTCCAGTTTTATGATATTTCTAAGGAAAATGGCTTCATTTTATGACTTGGATTGGTAAATATTAGATCCACACAAGTAAGTCTTAATAACTTTACTCAATTATCAATTGCTGGTTTTCTTTGAGGCTTGAAATGCCTGTTGTTGAGATCGTTGAGATTTTATCTAACCAACATTAACTACAAAGCAAAACGTGCACTGGAGTTCACCTGATAGAGTTAATAGTTTCACATCCAGTGGAATAAAATCAGATGAAAAATAATGACGGTCAAATTAAATAATTCTAGACTGGTAACCTGTTTCAAGTTTATTCGTTTTCCTGCATAATGAACGCTGGAGATAGGTTTCCTGAACTTTGTTTGAGGTTCATCAGATTTAATATAATTGATGGGAGATGGGAACTCAAAAAGACTGGATGCTGAAATTGAATCAGAAGTTGTTCCAAAAAAGTACTAATCTATGATTGTGCACACACCTGTGCAATCATGTTACTGTACTTTTTTTGGTGTTCTACTTTTTTCTCCCAAAGAGATATATATTTCTTCAGCTGAATTGTACAGGATAAATGTTTTGAAATATTCTTGGTCTATTGTTTTACATAACAAAAACTTGGCATTTAAACAGCATTGAAACAAATGAAAACAATAATAAGCTTTGATTAAATTGATGAACAGGCAACAAAACCTGAATTTTCACAAATAGATAAGCCAATCAAACACCAAAGATGATGAATGGAAAATCTACAGGCCAATTGATTGGAGTCAACTGTATTTTCCAGTGCAATTCTTTGTAAAGCTAAAAGAAAAACTACTGCAGGAACTTAAAATGAAACATAGTCAGTAACCCAGTAAAAGTGATACCTAATTAAACGCACATTATTGATGCCATAAGGAAATAGTCAGAAAGGAATTACCTCTACTGGTCTCAAGAGGTTTGACCCTGCCATGAGTGAGTAGTGTTAATTGATATACATGACCAGTCTATTAGGACCACAAAGCGAATTTCAATCCAAACAGCACACAAGGGCCTTGCAGCGGACTTCTTACACAACTAAATTAGGAAAACATGGGCTGAGAGAGAACTGGGCAACAGGGGGGCTAAGAGGCTTATGAGCCCCTTGTCAGATATTCTTCTTCTCCCTGAGGATCACAGATGGAAGGGAGTCTGGAGAAGCAGCCACACCAGAGTGGGGACGAATCCCACCTCTGATGTCTTTCTCTGGACAGCAGAAGGCAAGGAAGGGTGGGGAGTGAGCCCTGTTGCGCATGGCTTGATTTCATCTTAATGTGATATATAAAAAGGAGGAGCTTTGGCGACAAGGGGTGTGTGGGGGTGAGGAGGAATTGTTTCAGCTATCAGTGCAATCACAGTTAATCCTGAAGATTTAAACACAGACACCTGGCTGGATGGGGAGTAACAGATGTAAAAGTCCCAGGACGGTGTCTGTACAAAATCCCCGTCCCTTCGGCTCCTGCCTTCTATCAAAGGTTTAATTGAAAAGACTGATCTCCATATTGCTCTTTGTATTGTTGCTAACAGCAACGCAGCCGTGAAACAGCTGAGTGAGGCTGCTATTTGAGGAGCTCAGGGTTTATACCTACAATCAAAGGGTCAGTCAGAGCAAATAATAGCCAAGTGATATGAATACAACTGCTGCGAAGTGGAAGGAAGTGCAGGCTGACACAGTCCCCAGCCAATTACATTCAGTGGAAAGTCAGTCACTAAGCCTTATTGTATTGACCACAAGAGATTGTGTGGTGCTGGCTCTGTGTTGAAAGAATTCAGAGATCTTATCTGTGCTTGTATCAGATTTACAAAGGAGTTTGGGTTATCCATGGCCCCAAGCTCAACACTAGCTTCTATTTTTTAATACTGACTAGTGAAAGACTTCTTAGCTCACCTCCAATTTTTAGACTGCATTATTTTCAATTCTACAAGAGAACACGTTTTGTATTTTGATTGTTTCTGAATGTGTTTGAATATGTCAAAACATCATATGACTCAAACAAAAACATCTGAGAAAACCACAATGAAGCAATTCAGACTATGGGGCACAGAATAAATGAAAAAAAGGGAAAACTAGTTTGATAAAATTAACTACAAACAAAACCTGCCCTGTGCTTATTGTGCCAGCCATGTTAGACTGTTGCTTTTTTTTCAGTGTTAACAAAACAAATTTGGTGCATGCTGATAATAATCTGGCATCCTCTGGACGCAAAAAAGTTAGGACTCCTTATAGCAATTCCACACAGATGGTAGAGGAACATTGCAGAAAGCAAAACAGTCAGACCAGGAAAAGGTCTGACATGTTATGACTGCTGCTATTATTTAGCTCAATCAGATACAGCAGCTGACATAATAAGAATACAAAACACACCTCCCCGCTAGACCCTGATTTGAAAAGGTGTGTTAGTTTTGCACAATTTCTCGAGCCTGTTGTGGAGACACTAAAAATATTTCTGCACAGTAAAAGTCCAGCAGAGATTTGTTAATCAATTTCAATACTATGCAGATTAGCAGAAATCCCTGCACTTATTTTTCTACTGAAGCCAAATCTCCTTTTCAAAAATGCAGGTCGGTTAGAGCAACTTATTTGGCTTGTATAGTCTCCCCACAATGCCCGGCGTTGTCAGTCATGATATATTCCCTTGGCCTCCTGTCAACATGCATAAGTCTCAACAGTGCTGTCAAAACAGCAGGACTGTCTCTGCTGAGAGCGTTTGTAAAGTGAGCAGTTGGGCGATTGCTTCCTCGGGAGAATCACAGCATCCCGCGATCCTACATGGCCTCTGGCCTCTCTGCTACACAAAGCTTTTTACAGCTGTCTTAAGGATGTCACTGATCAGTCTTGACTCCAAAAGAAATGTTAGTGGACTATGTAATGTTGATATTAAACTGTGGTTGTCCTAAATAGTATATTTTGAAGGTCTAAGAATAAATAAAAGTAATTTTATGCATAATAATCTTTGTGACTTTTTGTTTTTGGATACTATTGTAGAACTCGATCCAAGATCTGTTCATCGTCTTACACTAAGTAATACCTTCATTGGATTTCAGTCCATTAAGCCATTATCTTTAGCTCACTTGTGATCGGATCAGGATAGTAAAAGGTCCAACACGCAGTTAAATACTCTCCATCTCAGTCTGAGCATGTCCAGGCCAGAAGAGATACGTAGTCTCTCCAGTGAGTTCTGCATCTGCCAATTTTTAGCTCAGGTGCCTGAAAAAACCTCCGAAGTGAAGCACCCAAGAGACATATTGACTGGATGCCTGAACAACCTCTGCTGATTCCTTTTGATGCAATAGAACAGCAGCTCTATTCCAAGCTCTCCCCCAAAAGACGGAGATGCTCACCCCATCTCTAAGGGTGAGCCCAGCCACCCGACGGAGAAAGCTTATTTCAGCTGCTTGTATCCGGGACTTTGTTCTCTTTCTCAAGATCCATTTTACCATCTGTGAGGTCAAGGACAGAGATGAACCAGTAAATTAGGAGCTTTGCATGTGGCTCAGCAGACTGGAACACCACCCACCTTACCGCAGACGAGGTCTCAGTCTGTCTTCCCATTTTCTTATTTCCTTCTCCATTCTACCATCACCCAAGGATAAGACACCAAGACACTCTTATCTCAGGCACTTTGCACTTGGCTGCAAACTACTCCAGAGAACAGTAAAGACAGTCACAATCTAAACATGCCAACAGAACCACATCATCTGCCAAAATCAAAGATGAGACCCTGAAGTTCCAAAACCTGAGGCTCTCCTCTCCAAAACTATGTCCTTGGAATCTGTCTAAGGAAACCAAAACACAAGTGGATTATTAGAAGTGTTCTAATATATTTTACCCAGAGGTTGATGAATGAAGTTTTGATGTTCAACATAAATGTATTGCTGCATACCTCATTATCAGCTCAGTTGCTCAGTAGTTGTCTCCTAAGAGATTTCTTCTGTTTTTGCTCGTTATACTTAAATGTTTCAGCTCCTCAAACAAAATTTCCTATCAAACGGTGTAAATACAAAAATTGACTGTCACTTGTGTAAAACATAAATTGAATGTGATTAAATATGTTTTTGAGTTCTTAAGTTAGGCCTGTTTATCCATGGAAACAAAAAATCTCTAAAAAAAAACTGTTCCACAAATTTAAATAGACTAATAAATCTAAAATATATTGAAACTGCTCTTTTCAAGACAAATGAAAAAGCAAATGAGGAACGATAATTGACAAGCCCCTTGCGTGGTAGCAAACCACAGTACCAGCTGTGATCCACAGGAGACTCAAATACATTTTTTGTCCATTGACGTGAGAGAGGGGTGCAGATTTTATGGAAGAAGTGTGTCGTGGTACATTTGGGGTACAACTAACAACATTTCAGAAAGAAGAACATCATTCTGACTGTAAAACATGGAGGTGTTAAGTGTGTTGGAGGTTACTTTAGGCCCTGAGTGACATGCCATAGTTGATGACTCATCCATTATGTTCTTTACGAGAATAGTATGGACAACAATGTCTAGACATGACCTGACCTTAAACTCAAAGAAACTTGGGCTACTCTTCATGATCCAAAGTACACCTTAAACTTGTCTACCTGGGAATCTCTCCATATTTTACATTTTAAGAAAAATATAACATTCCTCTTTCAAAATACGCATATTTTAGTTTAAAAGTAAGACATTTAGCATCAATATTTATTCTGTTTTATTGCCTACTTTACCTACTTCATTAAAAAAATAATTTATTGTTAAACAATAACAATAATAAACCATTTTCTGGGCGAATATCCCAAATCAAAACGGGGATTTCCTTAAATTTAATCGGTCTGAAATTCTCTAAAACATTTTTCTGTTTTTTTTTCTACCTATTAATGAACTCTTTATAAAATAAACAGATATTGCCGAAATCTTTTAAGCATTAACCGAAAATGACTATTTTCTGTGTAAAACTTAAAGTGAGATTCCAGGAATTGCCACGAACGCAACAACTCAACATTATTGAAAGCAAACATTGATAAACTTACAATATATCTGTGAATCTTTCCTGATTACAGCTCAACGCTCAATGTGACAATCCCAGCCTCCCCTTGACAGCTTCCTGAATCGGCAAAGTAACAAACGAGACTGTCATTGGTCGACTTGCCCCGGACCTTTTCTCTGATTGGATAACATGCTCCACAACATTGACGTCATCAGTAGCAATATGGCAGCTCCCGTGAACAGTGTGGGTAAAACCTCAGCTGACCGTTTACAGGTTAATTGTACGAGCTTTCAGAAGAAAACAAGGAGTAAATTGATCTCCATACCCGGGACGAGACCTTCGGTCCAAAACGGACAGCTCTTAGTTTCAACCGGTGTCACGTCGCTGGACTACCTGCTCGGTCAGTGTCCCGCTGCTGCACAGGCTCAGAGCCATTTTAATGCAACGTTGGACAGAGGGAATATAGTCAGCTGCAAACAAACCCACACCTTCACATTCTCAACATATCACGAGTTGAAAGCATTAAGCTGGATCTTTGTCAGAACCAAAAGTTCTCGTATTGCATTATCGTTATGTATTGCAGAACTTTTTTTTTAATAAAAAAATGTTTCATTGAAGTATTTCTCTCGCCATACTTGTGTCAAGATATATCCTTTAAAACACTTGCATATGGACGTCTGCATACTGTTGAATAATATAATCAAGACGCCGTCCAGTCCCTTACTTTTGTTTAAATATATATATATACATATATATATAGATATTAATAATGTTATATTTACTTCCCTACAGGTGGTGGATTAGCAGTTGGTACAGTGCTTCTCATTGGTGAGTTTTTGTCTTTACCTTTTTCAAGTAGGCAGTTTGTTGTCTACAATCTGCACTTTGTGTTTCTTGTTCCTTTTTTGTAGAATCAAACCTGAAAATAATGTATTTTTAACCTGTTGTAGATTTAAAAAAAACAAAAGCATTTTTCTTTCTATTTTTATTCAATGCGTTTAAAAAGACAAAACCTTCACTTAAACATGAGCTATAAATGTGTTTATCTTTGGACTGTTAAGTGTTTGCAATAATTTATGCAGATTTTTTATACAAAAGGAAAATTGAAAGAGGGAACGAAGTAGAAATAGTAATATCCTTTATTGTCCAAGATTGGGGAAATTTGATCTTTTTCCTTACGTGAAAGGTCAAAAATGACATGCATATGCTTTAATGTGTATCTTAATCGATTTTATATGGTAGACCAACACCATGAAGAATATAATTAAACGTGAAGTGGGAAAATATACATGGTTTTAATTTTTTGTACACGGAAACAGAAAGTACTGCTTGCATTTGTTTTGAAGTCCACTGAATAAACGTTTTGTAGAACTCAATCTCACCATAGTGTAAGTTATAAAACTTTTTTATCTACAGATTGAAATTTTTAATTTCAGTGCTCCAGTTTGAAGGTATTAACACATATGTTAATATTAATATCCAGTGAAATTAGATCTGGACCTTGGACTATTCTAAACTTTGGAATGAATGCATTATCATTGCAAAGAATGTGATTTTACTGCTTACACGTTATTCAAGTAAACCAGTTCTCAAATGACGATATTCTGCATGTTTTTGTTCTTTTTCTGTTTCTAATCAAATGATGGTTCAGTAACAGAACTTCTGCTGAATTTTGAAATGTTGAGGAGGAGCTTAGTCCATTTGAGTCAGGTGTGTTGATGCAGAGACTCATTTAAAACCGTAATGACACTGAGCCCCAAAGACAGGAGCTGGACATACATTACGTAGACATTATGTTGTTGGTTCAAGTTTCATTCTAGTCCTTGATTGTTTGAGAAGAGTTTTATAACTAAGGTTTGATAGATCCTTATAATAAAAACAATAAGCAGTCTATCACAGACAGAGGATATGCACATTAGTACACCAACCATTTGCTCATTTGATGATGAAAACAAATGTTCAATAGAAATTCAAAATCATAAGAAAAAATAAAATATTTCATCATTCAGCAAATGTATAAGAATGAATTTCTTGTCCATTCTTGATAAGAAATCCAAGAATGGATAGGAAAAACATTGAAATTTGTTCGTTTGAACAGGGTTACAAAGCAATTTTTCAGACTCCATTAAACCACAGTGAGCGGTATTAAACAAAAAGTAAAGAAAAACGGAACAGTGGTGAAGCTGTGACTGACCAAAAACGGTATCTAATTAAAGAATTTCAAGGCAAAACCATTGCTTACCAAATAACTTAAAGATTCCTTCAAGTTACATGTGACTCATGTACAGAGTCCTGAGTCCTTGATGCAACCGTCACAGGTTCAAGTCCTGACCTGATGACCTTTGCCACTTGTGTTCCCCTTCTCTCACGACCTGCCTTCCTGTCACTTCATTATCAAATAAATTTAATTTGAGCCGAAAAATAAAAATAAAAAAAGACTCCTGTAACATTTGCCATCAATCCCATCTTGATGATCCATCACATTTGGCACAAACCTAACACAGCTTTTAGAAAAAGAACATCAGACTTACTGAAAAGCATTGTGGTAACGGTAGTGTCATGGTTGAAGCATGGTTTGCTACTTCTGGACCTCCATGGCTTTACATAATCAACAAAACCATAAATTCTTAATATTGTGAAGAAGAGTGTTTGTCAACAAGTTAGTGATCTTAAACTGTGGCCCCTTAAGTTATTTGGCATGCCAGTGAACAGAAGTACACCGGCAAGTCCACATCTTTGTTTCTCAAAAAAAGATAATAGGATAAAAAATAGGCTTTGGAATGATTTAGTCAAAAATATCATGAAGATGCTGTGGGGTCCTGAATATTCAAGTCCAAAATCCTCCATTGTCATCGACAATAGAAAAAAACAGGGGCCAAACAATTTCCAACAGTTATTGCAAATGCTTGTTGGTAGATGTTGGTCCAAGACTGTCACAACCACTTTGTTTAGGGGGGAATTACCTTTTCATATTGTTTGAATTGCTTTCTACTCTCGTTCTTGAATTCCTTTATAGCTTTCTCTGTGATAATACTTTGATAAATATAAATTTTCATGAATAAAAGTCTTTAAAACCTCAGCAACACATTGACTCAATTCCTACAACCTAAATTGGCAACTATTTAGGAATCATCCACAGGCTCTGCGGTAAGTGTGTTACTCTCAAGCAGACTGAGAAAATGGACTAATAAGCTGAAGGTCTCCTGTTAGAATCCCAGGTGTTCACACTTTTCGGTTGCTTCTTCATTAATATGCTCCTCTGCAGATGTTTCATAGAAGTTTTCAGAATAACATAAATCGCAAGTGGGTTTCCAGGGGCTTAAATGTCTTCCACTGTGTTATTATTATTATTATCATTCATTGTAGGCTAGGCTATATGCACTGGTGGACAGTGAGGTTAAGGTAGTCATGTTTCCCCTTGAAGCTGTAATTTGTGTGTAGCCAAGGCCTATACCAACTGATGATATTGCTTTGCCCTTTAATTCATCCCCCCAATCGATGCAGGAGTCAGTGATTACACACTAATGCGTTCTTCCCTTCCATTTTGTGAATCAATGTACGGTTGGTTTCATCTGGTAATGAGAGACACAGTAAAGGTGAAATGCGTGTGTGTGTGAAGCACTCTCTTGTGTTTGTCTCTGAAAGAGTGGCATATGTGCACGATGTGTGTGTGTGTTTTTTTCCCGGGTGGAGTGGGGCGGAGTGTGGGGAGTTTGGAGTGTGTGTTTGTTTGTGTTGTGTCGTCTGCTACAGTCTGCCCCTTTAGCCGTGATGGCCTGTTTGTGAGACACAGACATAAAATTATCAGACTGGTCATTGTCTGCCTTTGAAGTGTCTTGAGCTGTCTGTCCTGATTTGTCACCCAGAGGGGGGATCTCTTCAGTATGGACACTGTCTAAGAATATCTTGTGTTTCTGCAAGTAAAGAAACAAAGCTGCCTAGTCTGTATTACATTGATCATTTATGGTTTTGTTCCTTTGTTAGATTAAAGCTTCTTTGATTTAAATGCCACCTTATTCAGTGCCTTCAAGCTGTTTTACATTATTTTATTTCAGTTCTGTGAGCAAAACAGAGATGGCTTACAGATTGTTTAGCAGTGTACGAACATAAACAAAAGGATTTTCAATTTATATTAAAAAGAAAGTAAATGTTAGTTTTAATTAGAAATTCACCATCAGGTGTGTTCTAGTCTAATTTTCTGATTTAGACATTTTTAGCTATTTTTGCCAAAGGGTTAAAATGCATTTAAAAAAAGAAGAAATTCAGAATATTTGGTAGAACCTGTAGTTTTGAATCCCTCAATAAATGAAGGAATTATAGTATTAGTTGCAAAAAGCACCAACGCATATTTCCCAAATATTTGTCTTAATTTGCATCAAAATGACTCTTTTGTATTTTTGATGCCTTTGTGATTTTATGTTTTGATGCATTTATTTGTTAAAGAAAAATGGAAATTCAGTTTTCAGTTACCTGTTGATTTCCAAACACATCTGCTCATTATCATAATCGAACCTTTGTTTAAGGCTATAACTACGATTGATGACTCAGTATGAAGACAACATAATTTTACAGGGACATGACAATGAGCGCAGGTAGAGTGTGTAGCAACTGAAGGAACTGTTCAGAATTGCAGCACATCTTTTCTTTTGCTTGACAGAAGGGTAGTCCATAGCAACCTTCTGTTATTTAGTATTGGAAAGTCCAGTTTGAATCACTGACATCCACTTTATGAAATTCCTCATTAGTATTGAGATGGTTTGTATGTTGTTAAACTTGGGTGACTTGTTGAGAGTTAAGTCTGTCAAAATAAACATCACTGAAGTGAAGCTGCATTAATAGAGTTTATAATTGGAATATTTTGTAAAATTTATTTCTAATTGTTATTATTCACTTCACTTTTTTATACTGTAATTTAAAGATAAGATTTTATGAACCTAAGACATATGAGAGGAAAACATCTGACCTAGATTTTTTGTCTCTTTGCCCTGCAGCTCTAGCAGATATGATTCATGAGACTTGCACTCCCACTTCCTTGACTGAAGGCAAATGAAGCACAGACATCCTGCTTTTATGCAACCTTAGTCAGAAAAAAGCAAAAAAAGAAGCAAAAAAGTGAAGGGAATCATCCTATGACTGTCCAGAGTGACCGATCTACCTCAAAGACACAACCGCCCCCCACCCCCTGTTGCTCCTATACCCCACCTCCTGCAGCCCCCTCCTCATACCCCCTGCCTTAGCAGCCTAATGACTCCTGGAGGTTTCATTTGTAAGGCTCCCATAGAAACACAACCACAATAGGCCCCATCTTGAGAGGGCCCATCTGGGAGTCTTTGTGGGGCCTTCTGAAAGCCACAAAGGCCTGCTGACCTAAAAACCCATCAATAAGAGAACAGGGAGCCCCGCCGACAACAAATTGAAGAGCCGTGGAATTTCCTGGGCCATCCGAAGTCCGTAGGTGATCGGGGAACGTGGGAGGGAGGTTGAGGAAATTCTCCAAATGTCCGAGGATGACACATCAGGATGTCATTCCCAAGCTGTCAGCTGTATGCCCATTACCTCAGCTGTCTTTGTCCGTGTGCCCACTGTTTACCATTGTGAGGAAAGGCCTATGGATTCTTAACAAACTAGTGACAGTGACAGGAAACAGCAGTGGCATACTGGGTAGAGCTATGTGCCCTCCTCTGTTGACTATAATAATGATGATGCTGATGAGGGGGGTTGTCATGTTGAAAGCCTGCAATATACAAAGACTATCCTTTTGTGGGCAATTTTTACATTTAGAGGATTTTACCTCTCCTTTTAATGGCTCAAACACACTTCTTACATGCTGTTATGTGATTTCTTCTGGAATTTCCCGTCTAAAAATATAACTTTCTCTGAAGTTCAAAAAGAGTTTATGCGAATCACCCCCATAGTATAGAGGTGAAAAGGATGCCACTGCCATTAGAATCCAACCAAAAATGCAGAGATTCAAAGCAACCAGGTGTCAGGAACTGTTTTGATGACAACTACCATCTTCCTCACACTTCTTCTTGGCAGTTGCCCTGACCACCAAGGTATCTTTCTGTTGTGTGGGAAGAGCCAGGTAAATGCTTAAGGCAGGTGTCTTCCGCTTGCCTTTACTCCTGTGCTGCCAGTTTGGGACATGATTGGTGAAAGTGGACAGGAATACTGTAATATGTTGGCATAAGGGGTGAAGATGTGAATTTTTACATCGACAATCAAATCTCAGTGTAAAAACTACACCCATGTGCCATGTTGATTGCTACATCATGTGTTGCCTGCAAAAGGCAGGTAGAAGGTGTCCTTACATCGATTACAGTTAGGAGCGGTGATGTGGGCATGAACTGCTGGACTTAGGCTTAGGTGTTCAAAATAATAAAGAGGAAGACTATGTGACCCGATGAAGCTATTTATGTTTTCCTTTGACTTTGTATACTTTGTCATTCTCATGTGATAATCTGATGGTTCTCGTCTTTGTTTCTCTGTAAGAGGAGGACCGATTTGACAGCTACTCCCGCATGATCTTGAAGTACTTTCTGGCAGAAGGAGTGGTGTGTCGGCATGAACTCTTTGTGGCAACAGCTCAAGATAACCCTGATGAAATCCTACAGGTAGGAGATGAGACGCCATGCTTTTTAAATGAGGAAGTTTCTGACCCTGCAAAGTTTTTCTATAAGATACAACACTAGCTGTTTTTTATAATAGTACAAAATCTACATTAATGTTTACTCAGGTAAAGATCTTGGAAACTGCTTCTTGAGTATTTTCTTTCTGAGCTGCGGCTCTTTCCAACATGTGTCAGGGTCAACAGGGGTATCGGAGAGGTCAAGAGTGGTATGGTTCTGGCATTGTTGAAATGTTTCCCGGCATATCAATCCATGAACAGGACCATAGTTTGCAGAAGCTGCCTGCCAAACAGCAAAGAGGAGGGGTGCTTCTCTCCCTCTGATTGATAGTGGGAGGGTTCATCGGCTCACCCTCTCTTTGCATATCAAAGACTTATTAAGAGAGGGGTAGTCCCACTGGGGATATATCAAATTATTTAGTATTTTCCACAGTTGTATTTGCGGCATGGTAATCTCCAGATGTTAAACTTGCACTATGTATTACATCAGCATGAACAAAGATGCATGTCCACAATTCTTAAGGATGTAAAGTTGCAGAAAGGAAAGCACTGTGGCAGTTTGATGTGATGTTTGCTCAAAGACCAGATTTCCTGTACATTTATTAAAGCTTTTATGTTTTCAACTTTATTTTGTTTATTGTGCAGACAAGGAAAACGTTATTTACTCATCATCTCCACAGATTTTTGTTTACGTAAAATTTTAGGAGAAATGAAACATACACACCATTTACTTTGAAGAAGTAAATGTGTACTTCTTTTAGATAATTAAATGTATTGATAATTCCTAACAAATTCAACTTGTTTTGGATTAGAAATATTTGATCGACTTTGTGTGTATTTTTCATGTCCTTCAGTACACCAGTACACATTTTTATAGTTGATATATGTTTCATCGTTGTTTCAAACCCATTATTACCCTTCTTTAATATAAAATAACTCTGTTTTCCACCTGTGTCATCAAAATTCTAAAAAAAAATAATATTAAAACAATTAGAAAAAAGTTTTTTTGACCGAGAGTTGCTGTCCTCATCATGCGACTGTCAAAACAGTTTGTTTTTTGGGTCTGTCATAGAAAAAGTTTAAATTAAACTTTCAAGCTGTTTTATGTATGTCAATGTTGTATTCTGATTAAACATATTTTTTTATGTACATAATTTGTTTAGGAGCTTCCAGCCCCTATCTTGGATGATGTTGCTGTTCCCAAACCTGTGGAGCAGCCCAGACTGACTGGTGAACCCCAGGACAGTTTGGATGCCATGAAGATTGCCTGGAGGTATCAGAACCTGCCGAAAGTACAGGTGATCCATCAGCGTCCCCTCTTTAATGCAACTATTTTTCCCTGTACAGTCGATCAGAGGCAATTTTTAAATCTTTTTTTAGTGAAAGTTCAACATGTGTCTCTTTTAATGATAGGATGAGAATGCCCGGTACTGGATCGCTGCTTTTAGTCGTTTGACAATGGTCTCGACCACTAAATCCATCCACCTCTAAACTCCTTTGTGGACTGAATGAGGCCTCGGCCTCTCTTTTCAGAGCCGCAGCAGATTACTCACACTTAGCTGGCAATAGGTAGGCTTTTCACTGTTCCCCCAGCTAACATATACACACACATACACACGCTTGCACCCCTGCTTAGCCTGGGAAACAAGAGTACTATGCAGGCAGTGCATTGACATGTCTGCTCGCTCAACCCTACGACCCAGACCTGCGCCTCCGTCTTCCCCCAAATCCCTGCCTTTCCCCCTGCTAGGGTCGGCAGCTCTACACTCTTTCTTCCGCTTTAAGGAGAGGAGACCCTCCCCTTCTTCTTCTTCTCTGCAGTCCACCCCCGTCGGTCTATAATCCATATCGCTATGTGGATTAGCAGAACACAGTGTGTCCCTAGGGATCCTCTCCCTCTTTCTCTCTCCCTGGAAACTTCTTTATATCTGTGTCCTTTCCTCACCTCTCCCCCCTTCCCCTGTAAAATCGTCTTTACAAACCGCTAGTAAGCCCCGCCAGAGGATTTGCATCCCAAATTCACCCCGAGAGTCAACGCTTACTTTCCCCTTACACACACCTCTCCTGGCAAGGCCCACTGTGTCGTTCTCTTGATGAAGACATCAGATCAAAGGTGAGGCCGTCAGGGCGGGGATGGAACGCTAAGCGGGTTGCCTGGTTCACAAAGAGAAGATGAGCCCCTGACCCCCCCCACTGGCCCTTCTGACCCCCTCGTTCTGACGGGAGAGGGACACACCGGGGGCCCTAATCCAGATTAGGAGTAGATTAAGGGCCCCTCTCACAATGGAGTCCATGGTTTTACCGAGAAAGAAGAGCTAAAACTCTCTCTTTCAGCTGCAGGAAAACATCCGCCTTCCCCTGCTTCCCTGACATGTTCGCTTTCACAGCCAGAAGTGGACATTTATGTGAAGAAATGATTAAGAGGCTGGTCATAGTGCTTATTTAACTTCTTCGCTGTAGAAAAGTTGAGGAATGACCCAGAAACAATGCAATTGCATTGCCATGGTATTGCATTTTTAGAAAAACAAATAAGTTTGTTATGCTATATGTATTGTTAGTTTTAAATATCAAAGTCATACATGCTGTTTAAAAGAATTTGAGCAAGCAGTAATGTTAGAAAAAAATTGCAATTCTTATCCTTGTATATTACAGAGTGCTTTGGCATCTTCCTCTCGATTCGGGCACTACTATGATGTCTCAAAGACGATGGAGGCAGAGATACGCCAAGCAGCCAAGTGCCACCGCTTCTACCTTCCGGATCACATCACCCCGTCATCAGCAGCACACAGGTAGAACAGCAAGACGTCGTCCTCAAAATGCAGGCAAAACCAATGAGACACGACCCAAAGAACACAGGCGCATAAACACGACATCATCCACATAACAGGGCTGTACAAATATGACTTCCTCCGCAGAACGCATGTGAGTAAACATGGCAATGTCTTGGAGGAACAGGTGAACCAATAATGCAGCGAGACAGAGCTGCAGAATTTAAAAAGCACATCTTGTATAAATAATCCCAGTAAACAACATGACCAGGCTGAGAAGACTTGGCTTCATTAGATGAGATTGTTTTATTCTGGCTAAATTAGTTCAAGTTCCTTGTTAATTTTAAGATGGGGAAATGTTCCAGAATTGAACAAAAGCTAAAATCCATTTGAATTGTGTCTGAGACATGGGTATTGAATAGATGCTAAAATTATAGATGCTTGAATAAGTTGAAATTTGTTTTGGCTGAAATGAAATGCATTAGTTAAATTTATGATGTAGATGCCACTAATCATTATTCCAGAAATCATCAAACTAATCAAACAATTGTTTCAGCTCCAATAAAATTGTTTTTCTTTGACTTCAGAAAGCAAAGTCAAAATAATTTGCATGATCACGCATCATTAATTTTTTTTTCTTCTTTTAATTTTCTTTAAACAATTAATTAATTAGTTTTTTATTGAGTTCAAATAAAGCACTTACTCAAAAATGCTCCATTTATGAATAAATAATAATTACAATCAAGAACAACACTATAATCACTATTTTTGCAACTCACACAAATCAGCTAAATATCAGCCGGCTTCGCCTCCTGTTTTGCGTTGTTTGCCATTGGCCGGGTCATTCAGCCTCTTGGAAAAAGGTTGCATATGTCTATTCAAATAAGGGTCTTGTTTGCTCAGCGTCTGTTTGATTTCTCCTGCGTTGAGTGTACTTAGGGTTCAGAGGTCGCACAGGCTCTTTACCCAGAGAGTGCTGCTGAACACACACGGGCACACGAAGGCACACTCATTTGAACTGGGTAAATACAGCAATCTGGAGTGCAGTGGATGCTGGAGGATGCTTTAGAGAATCTCTCATTCTTTCTATCAGCAAACAGAGACGGTAAACATGCGGCCCGTACAAACACATTAAATGTTGAAGGTTTTCAGGTTAAAATGTACATTTTTCACAAGGATGTTGCTCAAGGTAGAAAGAATATGGTTAGATATCATTTCACACAGTAATGATGATTAATGTGAAGAATGTAGGAGGAAAATTCCCCCTTGTTTGTGCAGTTTTGAGTGAAGGTGACATAGTGGTGCTGTTGTAGAGTGTGAATGGGTTATAGATCTTACAGGCATTTTGACAGCTGGAAGCTACACCTGCACAGCACCATTGTGCCCCAAGGCCCGCCCAAGTACTGACAAGAATACAGGCACACACACTCGGTACATATCTTGCACGCTCATGTAACACACAAACTCGAAAGCAAACTACACCCCCTTGCACGTGTCCGCTGCCCCATGTTGATACCCTAGCTGTTAAATTGCTCCGTTTCACTTGAAGGCATAATTGGCACAAATTGCTCTCTAGGTGATACAGATCCTGTTGTTTAAGACCAAGCATCCCCCTTCCCTCACTCTTTCTTCCCTTGCTGAAAGAGGAACGCTGAGATAAAGACGCTTCCTGGTGCATGATCCTAATTAGCTGACGTGCTAGCCCCTGTAGCTACGCACCTAGACCTCTTTGGGTACCTGAATGAGCCGTGCTCAGTAGGGGTAGCTAAAGCACAATGCTGGTCTCCACAATGGCTGCCAACCAGTGGCAACCTCCTGCATGCAACTGAACGTCAGACCGTCCCAGCCCCCCACCACCTCTGAGCTGGGGCATGGGCAGAGAGTCCGTGGAGGGTAGGTGTTCCTCTTTCACCAGTGCAGCTCTATCATTAGCCACAGCAGGGTCAGGAGGCACCATTGTTGAGCTGAATAACTGAAATAGAGTTCATTGATATACTTGGCCAAGTGTAATCAACACAAGTGTGTGCTTCTCTTCTTTATGTGGGGATTTGGCGTGTGACCAACCTATGTGTATCAGCTTTTGTGGCTCTCAGGTTGAACTGACAGCTGACGTAGCAGCTCACTGTGAGCTGCCACAGAGTGGTCATTACAATAGTGAGGTGTTTCTAAGTGGAGGGTCCTGTGTTAAAAGATGGGGTTAACATTATTATTGGTGAGCCCATAAACTCATAAAGGGCTCAGCAGTGATCCATCCCTTGACTGTTGCTAAATGTTGCTCGATGGTACTGCATGGCCCCTGTCAGTGGTGCACATCTTACCCTTGATTAAACACCAAAATGCTGTTCTCTGTTAGTTTTAGCCATCAGCCCATTAATCCCTCATCTCTTCTCCGTTGTGCGCACGTTTGTGCATATGTGCACCTCATCTGTCTGTCTGTCTCGGCACAATCAGATCCTCGGGGAGCTGACAGTGAACCAGTCATGTTGTAATTTAATCAACCAAATAAATTAATTGGATCTCTTGATATGGATCATCTGTCTGCTTCGGTAGCTCCAGAAAAGCACAGTCAGGAGTAGAGACTGCAGTCATTGAGGATTAGGCTACTGCAGTGATCAGCTTGGCTCAGATTTATCAAGATACTATTGGCGATGGATTGCACATTTTAGGTATCCCCTTTTGTGTTCTGATGCAAGTTCTCTGCTGTACTGTGTCAAATGTGTCTCACTCTTTTTCCAATGCTAGGGTTGAGTCCTACTCTGCCTTACTGAAATCACTGCAAGAGGTCATACACAGAGAGGGCTTTGATTTGGCGACCCCCATGGTAAGAATTAAACAACTGTGCTGGTTTTTGTTTTATTCAAATTATAACAGTTTTTTTTCTCAAAAATCTAATTCACCACAAACCAATTTAACATTTTGTTAGAAAGCATTGTAAGTCACTCTCAAGCTGGGAACACAAAAATCAAAAATCATTTCTGACTAAGTATTTCTTAGTCACAAAAACAGCAACAATTAGTGAGGTGGAGTTTGGAATCAGGTGATTTTCTGGCAATTGATGAATCAAAACATGCAAAATATTTTTTTTTATCATCAAATACATCAATGCAAATTTTCAGTCTATGAACACAGCAATCAACAGTGTTTAATGCAATATTTTGAGTTCAAATAGGGGTGAAGGGTACATTCTATTTTACTTTGGATTTAAACTTACTTCTGCTACTAAAAAACATGCTGAATTTTCTTTTCTTTTACACATTATTATCCTCAGTTGGGTTGTCCAGCATTAAAATTTCCAATTTTATTTTATTCAAAAGCTCAATAAATTAAAAAGATGCAATGGATTTTTATTTAAAGGTGTGATACATATATAGTGAGGAATTGGGAGTCTTGTCACTTATCTCTTCATTATCCTGTGCCTTACTAATTTTGGTCTTCTTCTTCCCCTTCTTCTCTGACCTTGCATTGATTCATAGCAATAGGAGAATAGAGGAGTAAAGGGCCTACTAGCAAGTTGCTAATATTTAAGCTGATAATAAGAGGTTGTTCTGTCCAGCAAGTTAAATAATTTGCCATTGCAAATGGATAAACAACTTGATTCTTTTATCATCTTAGTTTTTTGAAAACACCGAAATGCTAGTCAGATGTGAAAGAAAATATCTAATAAAATGGAAAGTCATCAGTTTCTTCAAACTGAATTTGATCCTCTTTTGATATATTTACAAAGAGAGTGTTTACATGTTTTCAAATCTCAAAACTGGCATGTGTCTAGCTTTTTGAGACAAGCCATCACAATGGAGTTACAAAATACAGTTTTTTGCTAAATGATTTGACACATAGAAGACTGTAAAATACGTGTTTTTTTTCAGTGATTCTCTACATAAACAGTATCTATGCCTTTTTCACCTACTTTCTGTGAACCCTGTGCCCGTCACCTGGAGCCACCTCTCCTCCTGTCACTCACACATGGGATTTTCTCCCCCCAGAGCTGTCATTCAAACACCAGATTAACTGCTGACATCATTAAAGCAGCAGGACCACCTGACACACTGTTGGCACAGTCCAGGAATGCAAACCGGCACAGAGCGACATGGGCGCTGGCACAAAATATGCCCAGTATGGACAACAGTGTGGATTGAATGATTTGCTTCTTCTTGTTGTTTTCTCAGACTTTGTCAAGTGTTTTAAGATTTAAAGTGAACTCTGCCAAACTAATTAATAATTGGAAAGATTTTTTAGAAGAATGAGACTGGAGTCTTTCTGAGTCACATTAGACTCCTTTCTGATTGGGTTGTGATCCCAGACTAGTTGTAGTCTATATGGCTGGGCTCTGGTCTTTGGCTGGACCCTACTGGCAATGTTCCCTGATTTTTCTATAGGCTAAGCTATAGGAGTTAAGTTTGTTGTTGCATCCTGATGTTGCCACAGCAACAGTCGTGTTACCGCAGTGACCTCCTGTGGGGCGTCAGACACAGAAACAGATTTCTGATTCTGCTGCTCTCAAAACCTGTGTAGGAAAACATCACTAAACAAAGGAAGGGCATGTCTTATTGTGACTACACCACACGTGCAGAATGCTAATATTACAGCAGGCTGAGATACAGACTGAGAGTATGCTCTGGAGAGAAAAGAGTCTTATTGGAAACTATGAGGCGGCTTTGAAAAACTAAGTTAGACAATGGCGTTTATTTTTCTTAGATCTGCTCAATGCTGATCCTGATCCGTAAAAAAGTTTAGGTCATGCAGTTGTGTGACGAAGTTATGAGAAATTGGGCTGAGGAGATCTTAGAAGAGTTGGAGGAGGTTTAAATTATGAAAAAGATTGAATAAAAAGTGAGAAGATTTTAAAACAGGCCTTTGTTTATTGATGTTGGCTCTCACCCCAATAATTCTGAACCATGCTATAAGAAAGGCCGAATGAAAGGCGATTGTAAGTCAGAGTAAAACTCCCTCACAGTTTGGACAGGGTTCTCCATTTTCTGTGGTGCAGTGATATATATCGTACCACAGTTTGGCCCACTTTTTTTTTTTTTTTTTAACAAAGTTAGTTTCAGTTGATCCCTTGGGGTGGGCTGGGATGGGATGGAGTTGGGAGGGGGGGTGGGGGGTTTAAGGCAAGGCACTCCACCCTTACCCAGGCCCCCCTTGGCTGCGGAGCATCACCGCTGTGCCAAGAATGTGCTGGGGTTTTCTGGGTGGCGGCCATATTGGAAGCCTGTCTGACAGGTCCATTGTGCATGTGTCAGATGGCTTCTGTGATTGGGCGGTTGTGTCCAGTCACGTTTGGGCTCCGTGTTCCAATCGTCTGTGCCGCTGAGCAGTCTGTCCAGTTGCTCTCACCCTACGTTTGGAAGCATGGCCCACAACAGCAGCACCCAAGTTTTCAGATTCAACTGAGATTTGTGCCCTCCACTGACTTTCTGTAGTTTACATTTTCTTCTGCAATATTTGATACATTTTCATGATTTTTTAATGTTTACATAACTGCACTCCTCACCCTCTTTGTATTTCTCACAGTCAAAGTCACGTAACATCCTGCGCGTGGGGCTTCACTCTCTGGGTTCGGCTCTGTGGGGGGACGACCTGTGTTGCCATGACAAACCTAGATACAGCCACGCCCTGACTACCTTTCTGTATGGACTCCGTGCGTTGTTGAGGTCATCGCTTTCGGTTGCTGTAGTAACCTTACCTTCACATCTCATCCAGGTAATATGGTGTTTGACACATACTGTCTTGTTTGTGTTACGTGCTTCTGAACTTTGACTCTGTTGGTGTATTAAACCATTTGGGATTTCAGCCAAAACACTGAATGCAGATTAAAATGATAGGGTTAATATTGAAGTTTATTGCTTATGCTTGACTCGGGTGCAGTGAAGGTTTTTTTCTATATAAGCAATATGGCTCCCCTCCATATTGCTAATATATGGAGGGGATAGGGTGTTATTCTATCAGGGGTGGCAAGAGCAATGAAAAACCAAAGTTATTTGCCAGTTTTGCTCAAAATTTATTTATTCTCTTAGAAAAGGAGCCTCAAATTCCTGTGTTCTGCAGCTTTCTGATGTAAGAGAGGTCCATCACGCCTGAATCAAATAGCTGGATTCCTCTCTCAACCTGCAGTCAAGTTTCTACAGAGTCCTGCTAGTGACCTAATTATATAATTCAGGTATTTTAAACAGGGATTTATATAACACTGGCCTTCTGAGACTTGAGTTTCTAATCACTGTCTTAGATTGTTAATAGGGATGGAGTAAGAAAAAATGATATTCCTGTAGTTCAAAATCTTAAAAATCTAGCTTGGCCAATCATTAACTCAATAGTTGTAAGAATTAATTCAGTCTTCAAACTTTTCAATTTGATATTATGAAATTCAACTTACTTTAAAGTCAATAACATTAAATATTTGTAGAGAAATGTATTTTCTGCTCAATCCAATCTTACAAACAAACTCTTTGTGCAACTTAAAGTTGCACAAAGAGTTTAAACCTCTTCATGGCCTGATATGAAATGCTCGTTAAAGTTGTATATTGGTGGGGTGGGGGCTGCATGGTGGGCTATGAGTCTGTGTCCAGTCTGGCCTCTCAGTGTGAAGGTGGAGTCATCTGCTGAGGCATATGGCAAACCACCACCCTTCCCTAGACTATCAACCACAGAGGGACACTTGCCTCCAATGCCGTCTATATACCAAACTAGCCTGACCAATCTTGAATCCCTCTTGAAGAGACTCATCCTGAAGAGCACTGACTCTGTGTTGTTTGTGATCTCCTTATTTAAAGATATAGGTCAGCGCCTAGCTCAGAGAACAGCTGTGTTGTCACAACACGCTCTGGCTCCAGGCCTGAACCCACTGTGCAAGGCGGCTTGGCCTAGTCAAAAAAAGGTAGAGTGGCTAACTAGCAGATGTCAGCTGTGGTGGGAGCGGTCCTCCTGTCCCACTCTGGCCAGGCTTCCCAACCCTTAATCTGTCCCCTCCCCCTTCTCCACCCTGGGGAGAGAAGTGAATGAATTGGAAAAGAGGAGAGAGGGGGAAATTTTGGACTGAATCAGGTGTTTGGTGACGAAGCCAACATGGAGGTAATTAGCGGCTGTTATGTTATGACCATGTGATTAACTTACCATTTCAAATCTCACTTTGCTCTGTTGTCTTAACAACAGTGCAAAGTGTCACCAAAGTGTGAAGAGCGTTCTCATTGAAACAGTTAATAGACCTTATTTCTGGCATTGTGGTGCGTAGATGGATAGTTTAGATGAGAGAGCTCGGCCTTTCGAAGACTGTCTAGACTAACATCAGTGGTTTTACTGACTGAAACATTGTGGTCTTAGACAGTTAGCCTACTGCTACTAGTCTACAATACTTAATCTATTATTGAGCAGCTTAGGAAGCTGAGCAACTCACTGAAAGCCTCTCCACAGCAGCCCAGTGCGACAATCCATCTGAAACATTAATTAGACTCCCCTCCATCATACAATATCGTGAAAACACACCCAGTCCTCACACATACAAAATATAGGTCCCCAAAATATATATGTGTGTATATATGTATATATATATATATATATATATATATATATATATTATATATATATATATATATATATATATATATATATATATATATATATATATATAGCTGTACTTAAAAATAATTGCCAAGGACAGAATATTTGTGTTGAAGACAGATATAATTTTTTTAAATAATTCAAAAATTAAAATCCTTTTAAGTTTATGTTGTGCACAACAATAAATAGTTGAATAGGATTAAACAGGGAATGTCAATCCAGAGGTCTATTTAATTATCAGATCTATACTGTAGGATTTCCCAATGAACATTTTCTGTTGTTCTTGGGCATTAATATTTGGGAAGACGACTTTTCTCAGTGGCTCTCTAGATTTCTCTGTTCCCATCTTTTCTGTGTCCTAATCGCTTTCGCTGTTTCCCTGATGAACACATTTCTCCATTTGATAATGTTGAATCTTTCGATATTATATATTCTTTTACCGGGTGCAAGACATGTAAATAGTTTGGTATTTCTGCTATTGAAATAATGGCAAGATGGTAATGAAAGTAATTGCTTTCTTTTTTCTTTTCTTTTTTTAAAACGTCAAAATTTACCGTAATAATTTCTTTTTTCATCTCATTGGAAAAAAACCCAATACAAATTAAAACCTACAATAGCTAAAACTTGGTGGTGTTTCAAAATACGCAAAAAATTTGGCTCGGTTTTATGCTGACATGTTTATTTTACCGTATAAAAATGGTAAATATATTAGACTCTTGGCTGAAGACAAATATTTCTTGACGATTCCCTAGAAATAGATATTCAGTCCAACCCATACCATATATTGTAAACATTTCTGTTAATTGTATAGCATTACCATTGTTATAATAATTATTGAAATTCTGTTTATGCTGTAAGTATAAATTCACATATTTCTCTTTTCTGCACTTTCCACAACTTTTTTTTTTTTTTTTTTTGCTTTTTCTAATTATGTTTCTTAATGGTAGTTATATATCATGTGAAATACATTTTTTATAGCATAACTCATATTTTCAATTTTATTTAGCAGAGACCTTGTTAAAGGTATCCACTGTGGGTATATCTAACTTTATTCAGCAGTTATAAACAGTAATGAAGAGCCATATAAATCTTTGTTGGAGCTATTTGTTGTGTTTGAATAAGGTTTAACAATTGATCTGCAATTGAGATGACTTGACCGCCTTCATAAAAGCCAAGAGCTGTTGACTTCCCTCCTTTCTTAGTGACCTCATTCTGCCCTGTTGCGACTATACTGAGCTGCTTCCAGTGAACACTTTCTGACTTTAAAATATTTAAATCAGGTTAAGTTGCTTCCTTTTAATTACTTATATTGGTTTTCCAGGGAAAGAATAGAGAGTATTTTTTATCTGTTATTGTTGGTTGCTCTGTATCTTTTAATTTTCAGAACAATTGGTTTCTTCTAGACTGTTAAGATCCCAACCACTGCTGCACATAAAGCCAACTAAGGTACTTTTATTTGTGCGGCAGTGGTACCGACTGGTAGGATATGCATACTTTAAAAGTAGGACAAAAATGAAAAGGAGGAAGAAAGAGCAGGGAAAAAGACATGAAGGCATGAAAACTGCATTAGGCGGTGGCAGCCAACACAGAGAGAAGGATGTGAATCATTCAGGAGGGAAAGGGATTAATAATGCAGGACTCCCCCTCTCCCTGTGTCCCAATGTCCCTCTCTTTCTCTCCTCCCTTCCCTTTCTCCATCTAACCTGATATTTTTTCCCCTGCATTTTCTTCACCATCTTCTGTCTTCACCTCTTATCTGTCACTGACCTAACCAGTAGGGGGAGCTCTCCTCATCAAACCTGCCTAACTATATTTTTTCCATCCTGCCCTGCTTTTCACAGGTTTTGGTTTATGCAGCAGCCATTACCTTGTTTCTCAAGCATATTTTATGAATTGAAACAGTGACAAATTGTTGCTTGTTTGAATTACATCCCATTTTGTACATGTGGCTAGATGACTGATGTAAGGTGCCTGCCCTCGGGTCAACTGTGTGACTCCAATCAAACACTTATACCCTCTCCAGCTCATTGCACTGAGATAAGTCATAGTCAGAGCGGACCTGGTCACAGGCAGGAAATGATGACCTAATTTAATTGCAACTCGGTGACATCCCATCAGGAGGCTTTTAATTACCTACTTGTGTTGTTCTTCACTCTGGAACCGTCTTCATCCTACAGGACAGAACTCTAATGGGCAACATAACCCGGCTGTGTGACAATGCCATCGCCCTGGAATCATTCAAAGGCTCTGAGAGAGAGACCAACCCTCTCTACAAAGACTACCACGGTACAAACACACACGTACACACTCGCTTATCTTTCAGTCTCTTTTCTATCGGATACACACACATGTACAGAGGCAGTGCATTAAAGCCGGAGTTAGGCGGTGGATGGAGGCAGGGCAGCCCCCTTGCAGGCCAGGCTGTCAGTGTGCGTTAGCGTGCTGCTGCTCAATCAGACGTGCTCCTCAGTAGACAGGCCGGGGGGGATTCAGCTGCCACGCCGTACCCCCTCTCTCTCGCACCCTCACCTCCCTCCATTCCTGCCTCACCGCCTCCCTCTTCCCCCCTCCACCTCCAGCAGAGGCTCTCTACCTCTCGCCTTGCCCATTCTCCATCCCCGGTCCCATACCCCTGAGGCTCTGGAGCAGAGCAGACCAACACTGGGGAATCGATATTCTCACCATCATTCTCTCTTCCTCTCTGCCTGCATCTCTCCATCCCTCGCTCAATGTCTCCGTGGCCAGCATGCTCTGCTAATAAATGGAGGGCAAAGCTTTCAGTGGAGAGACAGGACACCGGTAAGAAGACGTGTGGAGAGAAAGAAACCAGGGGAGGGGAGGGTAGCGCAGAGTTTGTTTCTGCTCTCCCGGTTCTCACCATCACTTTTTTTTTTCAGCACAGTTTTATTATTTCTCTCCTTCTCCTCCTCACTTTTCTCTTTTCTAACACTCTCCACACATAAAGGTCAGTATAAGTGAGGCCGGTATTTTTAGCAGTTCCTCCCAAACACTCCCACTCACTCTTATGCTTTTCCTCGCATTTGGCCACCATCCCTCAACCCTTTAGATTGTGGCACATAAAAACATTCAGTTTTATATTCTACATCCTCCTCCAAAACATTTCCTTGATCCTTTACAGCCTTTTTTAAATGCATTGTGCGGTGGCAAACAGGTTCTAGAAACCTAGAACTTGTTTTTGTGAGTTTTGCACTGCATCACTCTCTTAACTCCCTTTGAGTTGCGAAAGTATCAGTTGGAGTTGATATTGTTTGAAAACCCTTTAAAATCCCATACTTTTCCTACTTAACTAATTCATAACGTGTATGAGTGTTTTGATGTGCGTTGATGAGTGCCAACGCATCTGGTGCGAGTAGGAGAGTGCGTGTAGCTGTTGCGTGCATGTGTGTGTATGCGTGTTTGCGGCAGCAGTTCAGGGCTGCTCAAAGCATGCTGGGAAGCTTGTCACTGCAAATCAGGCAGAGGGAAATCACCCAAGTGCACAGAGGAGAGAACCCACCATCCCCCACTTTCTCTGTCTGCCTTCCTTTCTCCATTACTCCCTCGATCCTTTGCTTTTCTGTGTCACGCTTGTTTGTACCACCCCACTTCTACAGTGCTGTACAGTTTTATGGAAATGTCACTGTGCTGGAATGAAATAAAAAGAGGAGTTCAAAGTATGAAAAATCTCACACCTCTTTCTTATGTTATTACATGAGCCTATCTTTAAATTATTACAGTAATTGTTGGAGAAAATACTAACTTTTCAGTTTTAAAGAATCAAGAGGAGAAAAGCAATGGGAACAATTAGTTGTGAATGACTTATTTCAAAAGTAAATGTTCTTGTTCATCATAATCACATGTGGGCACCTTCTCAAATGCTTTGTGCATTTGTGTAAAAGTCCTCATTTTGTTTATCAGATTGCCAATCCACTTTATACAACATTAAAATAAAACAAATAAAACTATTTTAGTTTCACTAAATGCTCACTTAAAATCATCATTAATGTTCTGCTAAAAGACCAATTTTGTCATAAGTTAATTTAAAGTGAATTTTGTATATTGAATGTATTAGTGTAAAACAAGTTCAGATTTTAATAATCAAAGTGGAGCAAAATTGTTTATTGCAGATGTGTTATTTTACACAAATACCAGGAACAACTTATTTAAACTTTGTTTAGTGTTTATATGTATTAGTCTGTTTCACAAAGTTAAGTTCCTACCTAATACACTGGAAAAGGCTTGTGCTGCAGCGTGGTCGCTGCTTAATTTTCAGTGATTTAGATAAATGATGGCAAACTTTTTTTTATTTGTTCTTATTTTGTTTTTATTAGGAATACACAGTAAAAACAATTTAGAGGTTAGCCTACTTCACACTTTCTAAGAAAATTACATTAATTGCACAAATCAATGTAATTTTTATTGTGGAGTGTGTTTTTAATAATTTATGAATTTGTATTGACTTTTTGTCACATTTAATCTGGTTCTCCTGTCCTTCATAGGCCTGCTGTATGTGCGCCAAGTACCTCACCTGAACTGTCTGGCGAGGCAACTCCCTGACCACAAGGATCTGGCCTTTAAGCTCAAGAGAAAACAGTTTTCTATTGAGGTATGTTTTCAGCTTTAATCTTTGGCTCTTTCTATATTTTATTAATAATATCTTTCAGTTGATATTTGTTCATAATTTATGACTTGACTTTAACCTAACTTATTGCAAAAAATCTATACCTCTTGAGATTTTTCATACTCATACTTTCATACAAACGTCAGTGGATTATATTGGGATTTCAACAAAAAGGGTTCCTCAAATGGAAGGAAGAAATATATGTGTACCTTGTCATTTTATCACCAAAAATCTGAAAATCTTACCATGCATATTTTTTTGTAGATGCACCTTTTGTTAAGATTGCAGCTGAAACTCTTGGGGTTAGGGGCTGATGTTTGGCCCACTGATTTTTCAAACCAGGTCAAGCTCAGTCAGACTAGATAAAATGTCTTGCCACAAAATTTAAATTTGATTTAGATCTGGATTTTGACTTAACTATTATGGCACATAAAAAAATGCACAGTGTTGGTTTCTTGATACGCATGCATTTGCATGAAAGCCAGAAAGTTCAGTTTTGATTTGCTCTCACCAGAACTCCCAAACGATTCCAGCAGCCCCTGCAAACTTTAAGATGTGAAGCTCTGCTGCTCCTCCCGAACGACCATTGCCACTCGATGATATTTATGGTTATTAGAGTAAAGGTGGCTTTTCATCAGATAATTTTTAAATTTTTGTTTTAAAAAATATATTAAATAAATTTTCCTCCCGTTGACCACTATGGACTTAAGTGTCTGGTAGTAAAGTGTCAAAACCTGAAAATTTCCAGAAGATGAGATTTTTTTTAATGCACTGTATGTGCAAATGTATTGTTTTTTTTATCAATATTTTTTATGGTGGCATTTGTTTTCCTGTATTGAAACTGTAAGTAAAAAGATGTTTCACCCCTGAGCAAAACTCCACCAAGCTCTGTTTACTTTGCTCTGCTATTGGGTGACTGAAGGAAGGTGAAACTATTGATTATGCACACTTGCTGGCACAGTTTCTTCAGTGTAAAGTCAAGAGGCAACAGAGTGAGAAAAATATCTATTTCCATAAATATGACAGTTGAAACACAGATAGAAGTTCAGGTAAGTGGTATGTCTCACATTTTGATGCATGTCATTTTTATTAAGTCTCCGGGTGCCCTTATATATTCTTCTGTGTTGTTACTTTTCAAATGTTTAGTCACTTGGACTGTGAAGTGGCACAACAAATAACAAGCTTTGAGGGAAGTAAGTAATGTAATGTCAGTGTGGTTTCACCTTAAACTGAACTATTAGCATTTACCAGTCAAAACCTAGTTTCATTGCCAGACACAGAGGAATGACATATGAAAACAAAAGTCAGTAAACATCATCCTTCTTATAAGCTTAGCATTTTACATATTTATTGAAAATTTATTTTTAAATTCAATATAGTTTAAACTATAGTTTAAATATAGTTTAAACTTACGTAAGATGTGCACTTCAGATGCCTATATTGGACTCACCTTTTCAACATTCATCTAGATTTTGATTTCTCATCCTCATTCACACTATTTCTCTCTCCAAACGATACAAATCTGACTCTGAACTGCTTCTCTGGAGACAAATTAGGAGGCCCTGCACTTAGCTCAGGCTCATGATTGGTCCTCATTACATTATCATTACCTTATCACACCCTGTGCTCCTTGGCTATTTAGTGAGTCCTATTGTCTCAGCCAGGATTTGAAGGGGAGGAGCGGAATGCCATCCCTACCCCCAAATTTCCACGGTCACCGTCTTCTCATTTTGTGCCAACCTTTGATGATATTTCTAATCCTTTCTTCTGTCTTAATTAACCCTCTCTCTTCATTTCATTGAATCCCCTAATGTGCTTCTATTACACAGATTATGAGGTCTGTAAAAGTCAATAATTTTGCTTATTTCATTAGTTTTAGACCAGAGCTAATATTTGTGTGTACTTTGGATGAGACAGAGTTACTGAGGGGTATGCTTGAAAGATCAAGGGACAACATTTTCAGAGTGGGCAGAAATCTGCATGTTGCAAGAAAACCTTTTCTGAATGCTTTGTCAATTCCTATTATTACACAGCCGAATTTTTAAGGAACAATTAATCGACTGTCCTCTGTGCAATGAATAATACAAAATACAAAATCAGCATAAAGTTTTAATGTTCATGAATGGTGAAATCTTAAATGGGTGGATACATTTAAATATTATTAGCATTAAGGACATTATGCAAACAGTGTTTAGGAAGCCAATTACATATATATATGTTAAATATTTTATCCAATACTGAAAGATTGGACTTCACTTTACATTCCTTTTCTCAAGATTTCTCAAGAAAAATTATCCGAGGCTCAGAGTTGGATTATCAAGATCAGTAATGATAATAAAGTTTTTGAGTTTTCCTTTTTCTAGAATTACATTGAAATATGATATTTATATCTTAACAAGTTTGGTAAGTCTAATGTAATTTTCATATTATTGCCAATGAATCAATCAGTTGGTTCATTAATCTTTAAACATAAAGCCCTTTTGATAACACAAAGTCATATATATAAGATTAAAAAAGTAGGAGAGCAAAATAAATAAAAATCCTATGAGGAAAGTCAGGCTGCACATGGAAAATAAAAATAATTTTTCAGCTAACAAAAGTGATATTGGTTTAAGACTAAAGAAATGTGATTATGTTACTGATTATCAGTAGCCACAAAAGTCTTACAAAGCACAAGTACTGAAAATATGCTAAAATTAATATCACAAAAATAAGAATAAATGAATAAAATGTTGTTTGAGGGCCTTAGCATTAGAGCTATATGGCAGCATGCCACTCAATGTTCATAATTTACAACATATTTCACGTGTATTGGATTTTTTTATTATATTTCTGTGGTATACATTTTTTAAGTCAGTCCTGGAGCCTGTAGAGCTCCAATATCCACCAGCACTTAAACTTCAATTCATATTGTTTCCATCCGTTTGTACAGATGTAGTACTTTATACCAAGAGTGTCTAAATCCTGACGACTGTTCAAATGGTCATACCTCGTACATCTCAGCATTCGGACCATTACTAACAAAAATATTTGATCATTCTCTAAGGACATGTTTATTGACAAAGTAAGAATCCTGGCTCTGCTTTGACAGAGAAAATTTGTTGTACCAACATGAGATAACAACCCAAAAATAGTTGTCATTGTTGACTCTGCACTCCACACTTAATCAAACCTGTCAATCATGATCGCTGGCTATGACACATTCTTACCTGTCTGGGAATTTCCCACAGAGTGTTGTATCCATAGTCACGCTATAACATAGGTTTATCATTGTGATACCCTATCATGTGCTTCCGTGTTGGTTGGTGTTATTGATTTGTGCATCTACTGGGAAGTGAACATTAAAACGGTTACAGAGACATATGTGCAGTCCAGCTCACAGACTGGACTGCCGTTGGGTTAACAGCCGTAGTGCTGGTCATCTGACTCTGTGGACAGCTGATTGACATATGAGATGACAGTTGAATTTATTTGACAAGCCACTGCAGTGGTCATCATCTCATTTACCCGGGCAATAAGACTCTTTTGCCCTGAAGCCACAAGAGACAGCATTCCCTCCACTGTGCTTCATGTCCTGCTGTGATGGACATGAAGCTACTAAAAGTTGCTTCCACACATCAACTTTTAGTAGATGTTTTTCCTCTTTTAATATCAGCAAACCAGAGAGCTCTCAAAATTTGTTCTATGAGGAATAACATGTGGGTGGTGGTGGTGCTGAATGACAGCTGATTGACAGGAACAGCTTCTCACCAGCTGGTTCAGGCAGCTGCATGCCATCCCAGCTACGTGAGGATTTGTGCTAGTAACTAATATCTTAACTGCTGCTTGACTCATCCTTCGATTGTCAGGCACTTCAGGAATGAAGAGACAGAACATAGTTTTATTTAAATCAAACAAATCCTATCTATTTTTTAAAAAGTTATTCGGACTTCTACAATCCCACACTTGGCTCATCAATTCTTTACTTTCTTGGTGTTGAGGTTGCCCCAGCAATACTTGACTTACTGAGAGTTCAAGCTACGGTTGATGAGCAGTTATTAGGCATGGTGCCTGAGGCCAGAATTAACCCATGGCCCTGTCTGAGCAGGTAGGGGAGTGTTAGGTGTTTGGACAGGATTAACACACACTCATTCATATATGCAAACATTTCTTGCTTCCACACATCAATATATTGACATTGATGCGATAACACATCCAAATTGCTTACGTGAAAACAATTCTGTGTGACACACTCTGTGCGTGACAGTCGTTCTAGTAACTCATTTTGCGCCGCCCAAGCTCTTGCCACACGTTTCACAAAGCAAGATGCTTGAGGATGAAGCTCTGAAGAATGCAGATGGTACAGATGGTACGCAATTACGTTCTCCTTACCTTTGCTTGACCCTTTAAACTGACAGGCAATGTGCCTTTGGGGTACCAGGGTGATAGAAGCAGGTCAAAAGGTCAACTACAGTGTAAGAAAGGGATTTGTGTCAAATTAGTCCTCTAATAGAGAACCTATTTGGAGGTGTTTTTAGTTGGACATGTAGGATGTGTCATTGAAGCTGTGTATGCTGCACACAGGAATTGTTCAGCTCCCTGTAGCTATAGGCTGGTCCCAGTGTCGAGGTATACCAACTTTTAAATTTTTTATGGTTTCAAAACCTTTGCAATTAATCCATTCCCTTTTATTAAGAGATGCTGATGAAAGTGCTAGAGACCTGCACACAGTATTAAGCTGGCTGAAAGACGTTTTGCCTACAACAAAGACAAAATTTCCAGCTGCAGACCAAACCGCAAACCTGAGTAATTATTAAGCCAATATTTACTTGTTTTATTCCCAGTGTTACTGAATTGGGGAGCTCCTTCAGTGTCATGCAGCTGCACCAAGTGCACAAAGGAGAATTATCATTCGTCCTGCTGGTATTATTACATCCCTGTTATTTGCACAGTTTTACTTTCTCTTATGGTAAATTGTCTGTTGTTATTTTTATGCACAATTTGTA